GGACTGTAAAATGGTACAACCATTGTGGAAAGCAGTATGGCAATTCCTTAAAAAGTTGGAATTAGAAACACCATTTGACCCAGTCATTCCATTACTAGATGAGAGCCATGGCAAGAACAGGCATATGCACACCCATGTTCATCACAGCACTATTTACAATAGCCAAAAGATGGAAACAACCTAGGTGTCCATCAACTTAGGAATGGATAACCATACTATGGTACATACACACAATGGAATACTATGCAACCCTAAAGAGTTACACAGAATCTGCAAAACACCACATAACATGGATGAACTTGGAAGACATTATGCTGAGTGAAAAAATCAATCACAGAAAGACAAATATTATATTAGTCCGTTATTATAAAAGTCAAGGAAAGGTTTACATATGGAAGGAAATTTTCTTTGTTAGTAACTAGGGGTGTGTGTGGGGTGGGAACACTGTTAGATAGAGATAATAAGTATTGATTTGGGTGAAGAGAAGGGCAATGTACCAAATGTGAGTGATCAACATAGTGGCACTGAGGAAGAGGAAGACAGAGAGAGGTACATGGGAGGTACAGACAACAAAGATGAACCCTTTTGCACATACGTTGTCAATGAAGGCAAACATGGGTATACAGGTGGACAGATGGGTGGACGGGCTGAACTATTAGGTATGTCTATAAAGCGGGCAGTATACCAAGACCATGTATAGGGTTGGCAGACAATGGTCCTATAAGTGTATTTGTATGATCTGTAAGAATTCCCAGGTGTATAGTAGAGATGACAAGGGACAAGGTTGTAGTCACAGCCAGCTACCCAGAGGGAGCGAGTAGTTGAACCTGTGGGCTCAGGACCATAGTCACAGGGCACTTCAAGTTCAATCGGCATATGGTACTACACAAAACGTTCCACCTCCTCCTTGGGCGAGTAGCAACTGGGATCTTAAAAGCTTGCAAGCAGCAATCTAGATGCAACGATGGGTCTCTCCTCGATCAGAGCAAAGAAGAAAGAAGAAAATCAAAGAGTCATGGGAACAATTAATCCTAGCAACTGGTACACCATGTGATCTGCAGCCTATACGACTATTAGACCAGAAGAACTAGATGGTGGCCGGCTACCAATGTCAACCACTTGGAGGGGGATCTATGTAGGAGATCCTAGATAGAGAGGGAGAACAATGTGGTACAAAACTCAAAATCATTTGGGGGGAAAAAAAGGGGGGACCAGGTTTTCTGGTCTGACAGAGCCTGGTGGAACCCCTGAGACTATGGCCCCTAGCTGCCCTTCAGGTCTGGAATTGAACCCACACCTGTGGTTTCCAGCCAAACAAAACACAGGCATATGAGTTGACCATTTACCTGAGATATAGATATACTCCTTGGAGAAAACAATCATGGGTGAAAACAGGGCTGTTTATACACAGGGGGACAGCTCAGGGGGGCAGGAGTGCATGGAGGGATGGACACAGGGAAGAGGTAACTATCGGGAGGAAGTGGGAGGGGAGCTGTTGCATTGGTATAAATTGCAGTCAATGTCATGAGACAATGTGTATGTGAACTGTTGTATGGAAAGTGAATTTGCTCTGTAAATTTTCACTCAAATCACAATAAAAAGAAAAGAAAAAGGGAGTGATAACTACATTTATGCTACAGAGGGACCAAGTCAAAAAAAACACTGTTGCTATGTATCTTCAAGTCAGACCCGACTCATAGCGACCCCTCCTTGGGTTTCTGAGGCAATATCACTACAGAAGTAGATTGTCCAACCTTCCTTCTGAGGAGTGGCTGGTGGGTTTGAACCACCAGCCTTCTGGTTAGCAGTCATGTGCCTTAGGCACTATGCTACCAGAGCTCCCAAAGACTAGAAACTCAAAATGGACTTGGCATTGTGAGATCATCGACAACCTTGAAAGAATGGTTTTACCTTGATCAAAAAAGGCTGAAGAAGGAATGAGAGGAAAAAAAAGTAGAGAAAGGTTCATTCCCAACCCCCCATGACAATTTAAATTTCCACTCCAGGTATATTGAATCAGAATCTACATTTTAACAAGATCCTTGATGTTGTTGTTGTTACGTGCTGTTGAGCTGGACCCGACTCATAGCGACCACTCCGTGAGTTTCCGAAGCAGTTATCACTATGGAAGTAGATTACCCCATCTTTCTTTTGAGCAGTGGCTGGTGGGTTTGACCCGCTAGACATCTGGTTAGCAGTCAAGTGCCTTAGGCACTACTCTACCAGATCCTTAGCACTTTTAAATTAACTGAAGCTCTTGTTAAAATGTAGATTCTGATTCTGTATATCCTGGGTAGAAAGGGAAAATTCTGAATTAACCAGTTAGTTCAAACACCTGGCACAGAGACTCCTCTTTCGAGGAGTTTTGGCATAGGGTAGTAATTCTCAACCTTTTTGGTCTCAGGATCCCTTTGTTGTTGTTGTTGTTGTTGTTTGCCATCGAGTCGGCCCCGACTCATAGCGACCCCTCCTTGGGTTTCCAAGGCAGTATCACTACGGAAGTAGGATTGCCCAACCTTCCTTCTGAGGAGTGGCTGGTGGGTTTGAACCGCCAGCCTTCTGGTTAGCAGTCAAGTGCTTTAGCCACTATGCTACCAGATCCCTTTATACTCTTTAAAATATTAATGAGACTCCCAAAGTGCTCTTGTTTATATGGGTTATGTCTTGATACTCTGCACATTAAAAATTTTTAATGAAAAATTTTAAAAATATTAATTCATTAATAACTATGTTAAACCCATTATATAGTACCAAATATCTGTTATTAAAAACAGCTGTATTTTCCAAAGCAAACAAACAAATGACTTAGTAACAGTGGCACTATTTTACATTTAAAAAAAAATCTCTTTAATGTCCGACTTAGTAGAAAGCAAATGGATTCTCAAATCTACTACTTCCTTACTCAGTCAGTTGCCATATCACACATCAAGCAGCCTCTGAAAAACTCTACTGTACCAGGTAAGTTTTTGAATTATTATGAAAATACTTCTGACTTTACAGACTCCCTAAAGGGACCTCAGAAGATCCCTGTTGTTGTTGTGTGCTGTCGAGTCGACCCCGACTCATAGCGACCCCTCCTTGGGTTGCTGAGGCAGCATCACTACCGAAGTAGATTGCCCAAGCTTCCTTCTGAGGAGTAGCTGGTGGGTATGAACCACCAGCCTTCTGGTTAGCAGTCAAGTGCCTTAGGCAGAGATACCTTGATCACACTTTGTGAACTGCTCATCCCACTGCCATCAATTTGACTCCGACTCATAGCAACCCTACAGGGGAGACCAGAAGTACCCCATAGTATCTATCTCCAAGACTGTAAATCTTTACGGAAGTAGACTGCTTCATCTTTCTCCCACAGAGTGGCTGGTGGGTTTGAACTGCCAATCGTTTGATTAGCAGTCAACCACTGTTGACTGTAGCCTTAACCACTGTGCCACCAGATTTCCTTGGGAACCACTACTGAAGGGAAAAATAGCAGGCAGGAGAAGGGAATCTTTCTTTCCTTCGTTTTTTTTATGGGTGATACTTCATCATGTCAATAAATGGACTTGGATAATAAGCTATTCTGGTGACATTTATTAAAAAACTCCATTATTATGTAGCTAGCCAGTTTCTTACCTTTTCGAAATGGGATAAACCAGTCAACCATAGACCATTGAGAAGTTTTGTTCCCTTTTTCTGCTCTTATACGTAACCTAACTTCTTCAAAAACATTTAGCTCAACTGAAGAAAAGTTGCATTCGGTACTAGTAATATATTGACATCCAGGCAATTTTATCCAATTATCCATCTGAAGTCTTTAAAATAAAAAAAGCAAATGAATGAATAAGCAAGTACATAAATGCAAAAGAATATCAAATAAAGTGTTCTGTTTACTAACATTATAAAGCTAGTTTTAGCTATTTCTTCTACTTGAATATCCTATTAACAGTTTGTAGCCTTCCAGACTTCTTCAGGGCATCTAAATCAAGTTGTTATTTATAAAATGGAATAGTTTGACGTACAGTTCATTTTTTAACACGATTCTCTATATAATTTTGTGAATTAATGGGTCAGGATTCCAAGCAACAGAGAAGAGATGAACCATAAGGCAGATGTGCATTTAATGCTGGCTTTGTTAAAAGTAGTTGTGTGACTTCTGACAAATTACTTTGTATTTCTTCACCTTAGCTTGCTTATTGAAAATTTGAGAATTGGAGTCAATTGTTCCTTTCTGACTTCCTCCGATGAGTAGATTACCTGCCCTGAGGGTAACTTAAAAATTAGTATGATTTCAGTTTCTTCTGCCATCCCCCAAACCAAACCACCCCTCTGCTTACTGATCTATATAATGCCTTTCATTCCATCAGTAGGAAAAAAAAAATTAAAATACTAATGTTGTCGTCAGGTGCCATCAAGTCAGTTCCAACTCACAGCAACCTTATGTACAACAGAACAAACCAATGCCTGGTCCTGCGACATCTTCACTATCATTGCTATGCTTGAAACCACTGTTGCAGCCACTATGTCAATCCATCCTGCTGAGGGTCTTCCTCTCTGTCACTGACCCTCTACTTTACCAAGCACGATATCCTTTTCCAGGGACTGCTCCCTTCTGGCATGACTAAAGCAGGTGAGACAATGTATGGCCATTCTCGCTTCTAAAGAACATTCTGGCTGTACTTCCAAAATAGATGTGTTTGTTTTTCTAGCAGTACCTAGTGCATTCAACATTCTTCACCAACACCACAATTCAAATTCAAAATACTAATATAAACTAATAAATTCCTCAAAATAGGACTAGCCGATAATAAGCGATTAATATTAGTGTCTTCTTTTTCAAAAGGGGACAGTGAATTGGCATACAGAGCTTAAAGCAAAAAGAACATGTTGCCACAGTAAGAAGAGACTGGAGTGAAAGAATTCAAATGCTTTGCCTAAACCCTGTTTACCTTAAACCAGGCAGAGAAGCTATCCTCTAAGAAGGTAATTTTTGTCAAGTCTAATTCATAGTTCTAGCACTAGCTGAATTTTTTCTTTTTTTAACAATATTGTAGACTTGGTTTTAAAGCTACTTTTGGATATTAGAAACCAAGGATGCCCAAATACTAGTCTGTTAGAGACTGAATTGTGTCCTCCAAAAATATGTGTCAACTTGGCTTAGTCATGATTTTCAGTATTATGTAATTATCCTGCATTTTGTGACCTGATATAATTATCCTATGTGTTGTAAATCCTCACCTCTAGGATATGCAATCTATAGGATTAGGTAATCTCCTGAGTCAATCTCTTTTGAGATATAAAAAGGGTTAAAGAAGTGAGAAGAGGGACCGCCTACCACCAAAAAAGAACATGTGGGAGCAAAAAGAGCTGGGTGTTTTGGACCCAGGCAGGGTCTCTGCACTGAGAAAATCCTAGACCCAGGGGAAGATTAATGATAAGGACCATCCCCCAGAGCAGACAGAGAGAGAAAGCCTTCCCCTGGAGCTGTCGCCCTGAATTCAGACTTCTAGCTTCCTAAAACGTGAGAGAATAAATTGTTAAAGTCATTTATTTGTGGCATTATAGCAGCACTAGATAACTAAGACAAACTCTATTTAACACTTATGATTATACGATCAATATTATATTCACTGCACAAAATCAGTTTCATTAATATAACATCATGCTAGCTTTGTCTCTCTTGCTCACTGATGTACTCTGAGCACCCAAAAGAGTGTTTGGCATAAAAAGCATTCAGTATTGACTGGAAGAATGAATGCTACATATCACATAAATGATAACTGTAAATGCAAGTAGGAGACTAGGTGGTACAGTGGTTAAGTGTTTGGCTGCTAACTAAAAGGTTGCTGGTTTGAACCCACCAGTTGTAAGTAACAAACACTGAAATTTTAGACAGTATTTGTACTTACTGCCATTCAGTCAATCCCAACTCATAGTGACCCCCATTGGGTTTCCAAAACTATCCCCTGAAGTAGTCTTTGAATCAAACACAATTTAGCTTAATTAGTAAAGTATGTGTGCCTTGATCATTGCACTCTTTTAAAGTATTATCTAAAACCTAAAACTCATTACCATCAAGTCAATTCTGACTCATAGCAACCTCCACTGGGTTTCCAAGGCTGTAAATCTTTACAGAAGTAGACTGCCCCATCTTTCTTCTGCAGAGCAGCTGGTGGATTTGAACCACTCACCTTCTGGTTAGCAGCCAAATACTTTATCCACTATGCCACCAGAGCTCCACAAAGTATTATCTATGTAAGAATAAACTGATAATAGCAACTCAAAAGGTCAAATGAGAAGCTTAAGACAGTGAGTTTATGTTAATGGTAGTGAAACAACTTGGAAAAGGATTGCAAAATTGGTCAAAAAACTTGAAGAATATAATCAGTCTTGCTGAATTATTCATGTAAAAAATGATGAAATGGTGTATTCTTTGCTGTGTATATTTTCACCAAAACAAAACAAAAAGCCCCTGAAAGAAAAAAATACACATTTATAGAAATGAAGTTATAAATATTATGTAAATTAGACATACATTCTTTTCAGTAATGGAAAAACCAAATGTTTCCTAAACTTGAGCTAAAATAGTGTTAAAATTAAGAAAATTATTCAGCTAATTCTGGCAAATCAACAAACAGAGCCACATACTTGCTGTCCTGAATATCACCTATTTGGTATTCTGCTGAAAAAGTCACATTCCTAACAGATTCATCACTCCAGTTCCACTTCAGAATAAAGATGTCATCTGTGATGTAGACCTCTACATTTTGAGGATATGTTAGATTTTTTCCACCTATAAAGGCAACAAGAAAGAAGAAAATAAGTAATATGTATTGCACAGCTATGTTTAAAAAGTGATTCTTCCCTTTATATCACTGATTAAAGAATATGTTTAAATGTAATAAAGTATACTTAAAAAATTTCAAAAACCTAATGATTGCTCTTAGCACAGGGAGGCTACTAATTATTTCTATCTCTGCATCTGAGAAAGGTGGAAAAAGGCTAAATTTTTTTCATTTATAAAAAGATTTGTCTTTTAATTGGGGGGGAAAAAAAGCCTATGTATAAACATAATTTTTTTCCACTGGTCTTTGAAGTGAAGAGTATAGGGTTCAACAGTTTAAGTCTCAGTTTGGTTCCACATTGCTATTTTCAGAGCTGAAAGCTGCATATATTTTGATGTAAAACTGAACAGGTATGATTTCAAAGTTGACAGCTATTCTCACATGAACTGAATAATCATAAAATGGAAAGATAGAGGTATGAACATTTATCATGTCAGTCAAGCTCTTCAGGAACCTGAAAAGGTCCTGACTGATGACCATCTTAAGTCTAAAACATTATCATTTTTAAGAACATTCCTCCATTGTCCTACTTTATTTCTTATTACTCCTAACACACATCTTGCACCAGTTGAATCGCCTCCCTTCTCATTTCTCCTGTGCAGCCCTTCCAACCTGCAGTGTATTTCTCTTCTCTGACTGCCCAGATCCTCCAAGGCCCAGCTCAGGTTTGACCCTTATAAAAAACCTTCCCCAAATACTGTAGCGCATGTACTCTTGCTGTTCTCTTACACACTGTATCATTTAATCCGTACCACTTATACCTACGTGTATGTACTCAGCACAGTATCCAACATCTAGTAGGCTCTCAAATTGTTGATGAAATCTGTATTTTCAATTTGCTTCACTGTGTTAAGCATAAATTTCCATCCAGCCAAATTGCAAATTCTTTAAGGACAGGGTCTATTATTACTTTATACTTAATTTGTATTTTCAGAGTTCTAAGCATAATTTTAAGGATCTCTGGTGGTGTAGTGGATAAGGCATTTGGCTTCTACCTGGAAAATCAGCAGTTCAAACCCACCAGCTGTTTCACAGAAGATGGGGCAAT